TGTGATTGGCTTTCCGCCCTTTGTATTAAAGTGAAGTGACATGTGGCCAAGTATGGTGACCCATACTCAGAATTAGTGCTCTGCATTTACCCATCCAAAGTGCACACACACAGCAGTGAACACACACAAACCGTGAACACACACCCGGAGCAGTGGGCAGCCATTTATACTGCGGCGCCCGGGGAGCAGTTGGGGGTTCGGTGCCTTGCTCAAGGGTACCTCAGTCATGGTATTGAAGGTGGGAGAGAGTGCTGTACATTCACTCCCCCCACCTACAATCCCTGCCGGTACGAGACTCGAACCCACAACCTTTGGGTTATGAGTCCGACTCTCTAACCATTAGGCCACGACTTCCCCCTAAACTATGCATACATACATGATGCTGTTTTATTTATAGTTGTTTAAGCAACTTAATTAATTATATATGGTTTATAAACATTATTTTAAACATTATGCACTTTTTTTCTCAGATAGTCATGTTATCTTACTGAATAAACGTGCATTGGTAATATATTTTGCTCGATGCGCCCTCTTGTGGCCTCAGAAGAGAAGCCAAAAGCTTTTCTTCACCCTAACTGAAATTATGCATTTTAAATTCGAATATAATTCGAATTTTGATAATATTTAAGTACAAAATTCGAATCTAGTTTTTCAGCCATTTTGACAGCCCTATCCCGCACACACAAGTCTCTACACACTCGCCCATCAAGTGTTGTCCCGCACCGCACTCTGTTGCATTGGGTCCCAATGGAGTGCAGGTCTCTACTCGGAAGGTGGCTGTTATACTGTTATGATCGAGGCTAAAAAACTATAAAATATTAGATATATTAGATATATATTCTATAAAAACGTTAATGCCCTGGCAGTGGCAAATAGCTTTGGTTTTATATTTAATTTGATTACATTAATGTTATAAGCTGAGATTTACAAGAAATATTTTAGCTGCTACTATGTAAAAGGAATACTGCTGTAAAAAAGCACCTTATTTGTCTAAAGTGTTTGCAAATCAAATGTTATTGCACTTTTGTTCATATAGCAGTACTTTTAAATGAAAAAAGTGCATAATACACTACTTTTGAATTCATTATTGAATTTTGTGCATAACAATGTGATTAATCGCAGAAAATCATGTGATTAATCGAGATTAAAAAAAATTTAATTGTTGCCCAGCACTAATTAATTGCAATAATGATATTAATAATGTCACATGATGAGCTTATGTTTAAAAATGTGAAAAAGCCTAAAAGAATTTTGGGCAGTTTAAATATCACACTTGTACCAATAAAGGTAATTTCCATTTGACATTATCACTGTTGAATTATATATGGTTTATAAACATTATTTTAAACATTATGCACTTTTTTTCTCAGATAGTCATGTTATCTTACTGAATAAACGTGCATTGGTAATATATTTTGCTCGATGCGCCCTCTTGTGGCCTCAGAAGAGAAGCCAAAAGCTTTTCTTCACCCTAACTGAAATTATGCATTTTAAATTCGAATATAATTCGAATTTTGATAATATTTAAGTACAAAATTCGAATCTAGTTTTTCAGCCATTTTGACAGCCCTATCCCGCACACACAAGTCTCTACACACTCGCCCATCAAGTGTTGTCCCGCACCGCACTCTGTTGCATTGGGTCCCAATGGAGTGCAGGTCTCTACTCGGAAGGTGGCTGTTATACTGTTATGATCGAGGCTAAAAAACTATAAAATATTAGATATATTAGATATATATTCTATAAAAACGTTAATGCCCTGGCAGTGGCAAATAGCTTTGGTTTTATATTTAATTTGATTACATTAATGTTATAAGCTGAGATTTACAAGAAATATTTTAGCTGCTACTATGTAAAAGGAATACTGCTGCAAAAAAGCACCTCATTTGTTTAAAATGTTTGCAAATCAAATGTGATTGCACTTTTGTTCATATAGCAGTACTTATAAATGAAAAAAGTGCATAATACACTACTTTTGAATTCATTATTGATATTTTGTGCATAACAATGCGATTAATTGCAGAAAATCATGCGATTAATCACGATTAACAATTGGAATCGTTGCCCAGCACTACAAAAAAAATATTATTAGTAACGTTCAGATCATTTGAAATCAAAATAATGGTGGTAAATAGCCGCGGATCATAGCTCACTACAAACAAAGAACAATGAGCCCATGATGCTTCTGCACTGCATTCAAACCACACGAACTGCACTGCAAACGGATCATCGCTTAACTTCGTTTACTCTTTGCTGATACACTGCACTCAACTGCCAGGCTCTAGAAATTTGAGAATCAGTGAAGACGTCAGCGAGTTCGACTCTAGAGCTATTCAGAGTCAAGAAATCGACACTTTTGGAGTCGACTCCCCATCCCTAAGACATACACAAAAGCACTGAATGCTAGCCATTTGAAACTGGCACAGTTAAAGTCATAAGTCAGAAAGAGGTTTACTACCAAGTATGTTTTCACACACAAGGACTTACAATTTACAACAAGGAATTACACTGTAGAGATGGAATATAACACTAACATAATAAAAACTGAAAATTAAATAATGCATAAACAACCCTCCATCTCAGAAAGAACTTGGAAAGCTAGAGGGAAACATTCAGAAAAATCAAATATGTAAAATGAGGGGAAATGCCAATGATGATCTTTCTAGTTGTACAGCCCTCCAGTCCAAGGTGTTTCACAGAAAACATCTGGAGTACCATTACATTCATCATGTTTTTTGTATGTTGTACATTGAATTTATTGAAGTGTCATTGAATACCATGGTACATAAATAGGCCAATCATTCAGTACCATCGTATATATTTGTGAAAAGAAACTTAAAGGGGTCATCGGATGCCCATTTTCCACAAGTTGATATGATTCTTTAGGCTCTTAATGAAAAGTCTATAACATGCTTTGGTTAAAATTTCTCAATGGTAGTGTAAAAATCACCCTTTTTACCTTGTAAAAATCAGCTCTTTTCAGAGCAACCTGTTTTGTTGCATGTTCCTTTAAATGCTAATGAGCTCTGCTGACCCCACCCCTCTCTTCTGTGGGGTGACTAGCAGTTCTGTTTACTTTAGCCACAAAACTTGCTAACTAGCACATTATTAGGAAAGGCGATTTGCAAAGATTCATAAAAAAAAACCTTATACTCACTTCTTTTTCTTTAGGTTGAGGCTGGATCATGAATGATTCACGCGAACATAGATGCATTTAGGTAGATCAAAGGGTGCATTCCCTTCAAAATCAAAGGTAATATATTGCGTCTTCAGCGGCTCAGATGTCGGGAGTAAATGATGACTGCTATGTTCATTATTACATCCAACAACAAAACACCCCAATCTCTTAGGAGCCATTCTTGTCTACTCCTGCTCCAGCGTCGAAACAATGGCGTTCTGACTGTTCACAGCTCACTCAGGGCGGGTCTAAGGCAAGATGGCCGTGTCAATCAACAATCGTGGGAGGGGCCTTGGTCTGTGTGACGTCACACAGACAGGAAGCTGAGAATTGCTTGATTTGAAAAAGGAGTATTATTTTTAGGGATTAAATAAAAACCACTGAGTGGATTTTTATCATTATAGTGTGGATGTGTACACACACTGCCAACACACATTTCAGATCAAACAACTTGTAAAAGTTCATTTTACATACGATGGCCCCTTTAAAATATTGCAGCAACATATCGTCTAGGAACGAGTTTCACAAAAGTTTTTTTTTATTTTTTATACATAATGTCAAATATTTAACAAAAGGTTTGCTTAACAGCAGTGGCTCTAGAGGCAGAGTTGTTCAGAATACAGAACTCTAACATATGCAGGGGTGCACAAAAGGGCTGCCCAATTTATTTATTATTTCTATTTATTTATTTGCTGTGACCTCAGATTGAGCTCATTCATATGTGCTGCGGGTTTGGTGAAAATACCTCATTCCATTCAAGAGTTATAGACATTTTAGTAAAAGTGGCCCTGCCCACTTTGAACGTTTTGGCATCCTGTTGCGACCAACATTGGAACTTTGTTTTGATAACTTTTGCTGTTCAGACTCCAGAGAATTTTCCTGCACTGGTATTATGTAACTTGTAGTGTAAAACTATATTTCTATAAAGCAGCGACCAAATTTAAATTTTTTGGCCACTTTTGGGTTTTCTCATAATAAAAATATTTACAAATACAATAGGGTTTCTGGGCTTCACGCTTGATAATAATAATAATAATAATAATAATCTTTACAAATTCAATAGGATTTCAGCAATTCACGCTTGAACCCCTTATTAGTGGTATCAAGTTAATAAGTAATTTAGGCATAGTTTATTATTGGGGAGTAACTACTCCACACTTGCTCTCCTCATTAACAAGCACACACACACACACACACACACCAGTCAAAGTTTTCCCTGTGGTGCTTATAATTACAAAGTATAGTTGTATATTTTTTTATACATAGCCAACATGAATTAGACCATGTAACTTGTAGTGTGAAATTATAGTTCTATAAAATAGTTCTATATAAAGCAGGGACCAAATTTAAATTTTTTGGCCAGTTTTGGTTTTCTCATCAGCCATCAAACTTCATTTCACATTATTTTTAGAGTAGTGTATATTTCTATATCTCTATGACAATATTTCTGTTTTCCCCCCCTCATATTAGTGACAGAAAAGTCATTGTCACCTGCAGCAGCTTTTTTTCAAAATATTCCAATTTCCAGCTTTCAGAAAAATAATACAATTATAATGTCTCAAATTCTGTAAGGTCCATTTTTCCCTTAATGTGTATTTAGTCATAATGGAGACTACTTTGTCAAACTGCTAATTAATTAGAAATAGCTGAAAAATGTAAAATAATATACTGTTTGTCTTCTTTTACTGTTTGTCTAATTGTGTCTTCTTTTGTGCTTGCATCAATAGAAGTGTGTTTTGGTTTATCTGTGGTAGCATTTCTTGTGTTATTGTTAATTCATTTTTCTAATGTTTTGTGTATGTATTATCAATAATCCATGCAGGTGTATCGGCAGGACTGTGATACATTTGGCATGGTTGTGAAGATGTTGGTGGCCAAGGATCCATCCTTGGAGAAGCCAATTCAGCTGTCTCTGCGTGAAAACCTGAGGGACATTGGCATGCGTTGCATCAAGGCCATGGAGCAGTTCATCCATGAGTATGATTCCAGAGAGCTAGACACTCCATCCACCTCCCAACTGCATTCCATCAAGTGACGACTCCAAACACATGGCAAAATCCAGCTACTTATTCGCTTCTCATGCACGCTATCCATTCAACTTTAAAATGTGCCCCTCTTTATCACACCTTTAGCTATATCAGTGTTTCTTCAAACAATTTTCATATACATAGTCAATGAAATTACTTTTATTACACCTTTGTATTCCTTTTTTTTGGTAAACAGAGGATGTTCCACGTATCTGTAATCCCACAAAACCACTGAGAAAAGTCAAAAAAATACAAGAATATGAATAGTATGAATATAATAGGCATTTTACATTATCTTCCTTATAATGCTTGCAAAACATTATTACAACATCTCTTCCTTGTTGAGCAACAAGCTTAAAATATTGGTGGTCATCAGAGTAAAACATACAGAATTTGTTGTATATAAACTTAAAACACACATCATGTGACATCATGTGAATTGTTAGTTGCACTTGTGATAAAATATAGTGTTACCATAGTACATACAGTAATATCTGTCTACATGTTTTACAAATAAAATTGTCTTCCACTGACTTGCAGAATTGTAATACATTACATGTAAGATTACAATTAGGAAGACATAGAAGATTGTGTGTAAATGAACAGGAGAGGGTTATCCAAAACTGGAGCAATGTTAAAAGAAACACAACCTTAGAGAAAAGTTCAGCTGTAAAACGTTTCACCCTATTTCTGACAATTTGTCCAGAAAAGAAAATATAAAATATGCTTTTTAATGGATCACTTCGATTGTAATAATCTGAAACTTCATTAAAGGCATTGTTTGTTTGTTAATAGTTATTTAATTCACATACACGACATGAACTGGGGATACACATGCAGTCACCGTAAAATTCTACACTTTACAATATGATACATATAATGCATCTGAGAATACAAAATATAGAAATATTTAAGACAATATTTACAGAACTTTTACAATACTACATTGTTTTTATATATATTTTTTTATCTTTAGGAAAACATTTAATTTTAAGATATTATTTGTAAATGGTATTTAAATGACTTTGGAAAAGACAAAATATTGCATTTAAAATAATAACCAACATCGCTCAGTAAAATGCTAAACATTTTTAAAAAGTTTAAATTTAAAACGATATTAATAAAACAAGTTGAAAACCATGAAGAGAGCATACTAGGCAACTATTTAGAACAATTAACAGTTAACAGCGTGGGGATTATAGTAAACTGTATTGTAACAAAATTATACCAAAACTTAAGGGGGAAAAAAAGAAAGGAAAGAATGTAACCTTGACTAGAATCAGAATCGCAACCAAAAAAATCTGAAAACAGGTAAGACAATGGTTGTAATTAGATTGTGTAATTACAATGGTTGTAATTGTTAGATTGAATCCCAAATTCTTTTCAAGAGTAACGCAATTGAACAATGATTTAAGACATTTCAGTGTAAATTAAAAATCCATATATGCTAATTCTGAATGTTAAGAGCCCACTGAGTCTTCACTTCTTCTGAAATGAGGTTATATCGCATCGTTATTGCACGAATATCTACAAAACTAAATCCATATTTTATCAACAGACAAAGTTCAATGTGCTGTTCAGCTAAACAGAGGTTAATACTTTTGATCATTGTGCAATCTCCAGTCACAGTAAACACATATGTAATAGATCATGTTCTGATCTGAACTCATGTAATGACTGAGACATGCTTCAATTGTATTTCAACCCATAGTTATAGGATAATTGAGAACAAACACAAGCAGTACACAACAGAAATGAGTACACTTCTGTGCATAAAAATTTGTCACCTGTCAACAATTGTGTTATTTCTATATATAGTGCACTTCCTCTTATGAGCAAAAATTATTACTTTAGAAAAATTATGTTGAAAATACAGGCCCTTCAAAAACAAAAAAATTAGGGTACAACAAGGCTAAAGACACATCTTAAGAAAAAATGTGTTATCGCTACTAGCGAAGTGTCAGATTGCCAAAGAAAATCAAAACAAAACAAAAAACCTTGCATACTAATATATATATATATATATATATATATATATAATTTATAAAAAAAAAAATTTAATATGATGGTTCCATTATAAATATGGTGATTATCTCTAAGGACACCCAACTTGATATATTGTATTTATCATCTGAATCTAACTGTCATCATGTTAATTATTGTGCTTTTATCCCCAAAAGCAGGGACAGCAGCACTTTTTACCCAACAAAGCATACTTTTACATATTCTTCCGTTACTGTAAAAACGGTTGCTTTAATTATCTTAAACAGAACTGAAAAACCTTAACAGAACCTTTGTCTCAAAATGTAGTCAATTGTATTTATCATTTGACACATAAATCTACAACAGTAAATAAATAAACAAACAAACAAATAAATGAATATTAGATCAAAGTAGCCCAGAATTTTCATGTTTCTTTCTGCCAAATTTCCATGTGCATAGTCAAACATGGTTGTTAAGGAAAGTGCTGAAGTGAATATTTGTGCCATCTAGTGGTGTAAAGGAGAATGAAGTCAAATGTGCCTTTTACCGCAGTGCGCCTTTAGCCCTGTTGTACTCTACATATGTAAATGACAGACAGACAAGTTGGAAAATATGTGGTCATTGAAACAAAACATTCAAAGTTCCCTCGGAAGGGAGCATCTCAGGTTACGTATGTAACCATGGTTCCCGGAGAAGGGAACAAGACACTGCATCCTCTAGAGGTTGCTTTGGGGGAACGCCTTCGGTGAGACCGGTGTCTGAAGCATACATCTAAACATGACAATAAAATTGGCTGGCGACAGCCTATGACGTCATTACCGGTGCGACCACAGTATAAAAGGGCACCGGGGAAACATCATCCGCTTCTTCATCTTAAGCTTACGTCTGAAGCATGTTGAGGAGTCTAGAGGATGCCGTGTCTCATTCCCTTCTCAGGGAACCATGGTTACATAAGTAACCTGAGTCGCTCCCTTCCGAGGGAACTTCGAACTGCATCCTCTAGTGGTCGCTTTTGGGAATGGTATACCCACGCTGACATGCTGAGGGGAGTGCATGCCAATACTATGGAGAGCACTAAGTACCAATTTAACCAAGTTAAGGGAGTTGCCCCTAAGATGCTTTGACAGCTGTCAGTGACATCATCCCCTACAGCCAAAGGCCTGAGATATGCGTCAAAGAACTTACCTGTGAGGGACCTTACCTGAGAACTTACCTGAGAGGAAGCCTGAGCCCAGGGCAAAGCTCAAGGCTTGGAATCAGAATAAAATGATTCCTTAAGGGTATGCGGCCGAGTTTCAGGGCTGACTTAAACCCATATCTTGGCCTATTACACAGGGGGCTACCCTCTGCTCTTAAAATGAGCTACCCTAGGATCACATGATACTCCGGGAACTAAGTAGCAAACACCCTGCTTAAAAATTTATCAAAAAGATATACACACGGAGAGTGGGGCCCACGGTAAGAAGTGGGGCCTGAGCCAACTCAGAGAAAGGGGACGAGGCTAGCATCGCGTCAACTTTACCATAAAGGATTTTAGAAAGGTGCGCAAAGGCTTAACATATACACCTACCATGAATATGGATTTTAAAGACGTGCACAGAGAACTAGCATGTGCTCTTACCATAAATATGGATTTTAAAAAATGTCATTATTAAAAAGGTGACAAAAACCATGGCGGGCCAGTACTTTATGTGACTGAGACTGCTCAGGAGTAGCAGGGTACTCAGCTTAGCACCTGTGGATCTGAAGGTGGCATGTCTCATAGAAGAACCCTCTAGCTGAGGGGAGCCTTGCCAACCTGACTAAAGCAGTCACAAGAGCAGAACTCTAAATAAACATGAGAGGCACCTAATAGGTGGCAGAAATGGCCTAACAACCTAAAAAGGCTAAATTACAGGGCCTCGATACTCAGAAGAGAGGGCATGACAGACGCTCAGGTGGGAGTGGCGTGCTCATAGAAACCCTCAAGAACAAGGGGAGCACTACCAAGCTTAACCATACAGGTATCATCAGAGTTACATCAGTGGAGTGGGGCCCAGGTAAGGAATCCGGAGCCTGAGCCAACTCAGAGAAAGGGGGCGAGGCTAGCATCGCTTAACATAAAGGATTTCAGAAAGGTGCGCAAAGGCTTAGTGTGCACACCTACCATAAATATGGATTTTAAAGAAGTGCACAGAGAACTAGCTTGTGCACTTACGATAAAAATGGATTTTAGACTAAGCTCTAAAAATGGAGGACTCACAATCAGGGAGGGGAGCTCTGTTAAGCTCGACCATAAGAGCAGCCCGTCAGTGAGGCAGAAGATAACCTAGCTTCCTGACGTGGGTGCCGTACGTAGCTCCAGCCAGCGGAGGACCCGGTTCCAAGAAGTGGGAGATATACTCAGACGCTAAGTTGGGAGGGGCGTGCTCATAGGTGACCCTCAGGAAAAGAGGGGAGCACTGCTAGGCTCAACCATTAGAGCAGCCAAACAGGAAGACAGAAGGAGCCTAACAACCTGACATGGCTGCTCAGTGGAGCTCTGAGGAGCGGAAGACTCAACGAGGGGAGAACTCAGGTGCTCAGCAGGGAGTGGCGTGCTCATAGGTGACCCTCAAGAATGAGGGGAGCACTGCTAGGCTCACCTTCAAGAGCAGTCTAACAAGGAGGCAGAAAGGGCCTAACAACCTGACAGCTGCTCAATGGAGAGATCCAAAGAGCAGAGGACTCGACTCACAAAACAGGAGAACTCAGACGCTCAATTGGGAGCGGCGTGCTCATAGATGACCCTTGAGGACAAGAGGAGCATTGCTGGGCTCTAAAACCTGAGGAGGCCACAAAATGGAGCTCCAGGGAGTGGAGGACCCGGTGAGAGGGGACCTCCAATGCTCAAATGGGAGCAGCATGCTCACAGGTGACCCTCAGGTCAAGGGGAGCACAGCTGGGCTCAACCAAGAAAGGGGCAGCGTACCAGGGAGGCAGCAAGTAGCCAAACTACCTGGTGTTGCTGCCACGGAGTGGAGGCTCAACTCAGACGCTAAATTTGGTAGCGGCGTGCTCAAAGGTGACCCTCTTGGGTGAGGGGAGCACTGCTAAGCTCAGCCAACAAGGAGAGCAGCCTAACAGGCAGGCAGAAAAAGGCCTAGCAACCTGAGGCTGCTGCTGCTCAATGGAGTTCTAAAGAGCGGAGGACTTGATGAGAGGAGGCCTCAGATGCTCAATTGGGAGCGGCATGCTCAAAGGTAACCCTCTGATGTGAGGGGAGCACTGCTAGGCTCAACCAAATAAGGACAATAAATCAGGGAGGTAGCAAGTGGCCAATCTACCTGATATTGCTGCCACGGAGCTCCAAGAGCGGAGGGTTCAACCCCTAGCAAGGGGAGAGAGGAACCCAACTTGACTGAAGTGATCAATAGCCCAGAAGCAGAGAACCTATCTCTAAAGTAGAGAAGAGGACTCACATATTCTGCCCAGGACCGGTGAGCTCATAAAAGACCCTCCCACAGTGAGGGGAGCACAGCCATGTCTGGAAAGCAGATTGACCGCAATGGGACATCAGAAATGGGATCCAGCTAGAAGGGGATCACATCTCTACAGGGAACAACAGGGTCCCAGCATAGAGGCAACTGACCAAGGAGGCGACAGAGATGGGCCTAACAACTCAGTATTGTTGCATATGGAGTTTTCGGGAGCAGCGCTCTTAGTTCTCAGGCTGAGGCGGGACCTAGAGCACAACAGTGCTAGATTAGAAGGTGGGGAATCCAGCAGGGCCTAATTAAAGACAGTCAACTGATGCAGCTGGACGCAATCTCATGCTCTCTTTGGCAATAGAGAGCATGGGTCCCATTTAACCAGACTGATAGAATCTGAAGCAACAGCAGGACCCGATAACAATTCATGCATGCAGTGCTACTGCTCCTCAGAGCCAAAGCTTTCAGGAAGGGTTTCCGCAGAAACACATCTCACGCGTACCTCAGGGAATGCAGTGTGCTCAAGCCCACTCCATGGAGGGGCGATTACTGGTTCGACCATAAGGGCAGTGTGACAGGGAGGTCCTGTGGGCCTGACCATCTATCGAGCTGCAGAGTGGAATTAAGGAGTGTTGAACTCCTCAGCGAGAGGAGCTCTAGCTCAGAGAACGTGCATGATGGTTGAGGAATGACTCAAATCTCAGGAGACCCCTCAGGGTGAGAGATGAGTAGCACGTCCTGGCCAGGGCAGCTTCTCGAAGCAAACACCCAGCCAGGAGATCAGGGAGCACATAATGAAGCATTATACTTATGCTTTATACTTATACTTATACATTTACTTATGCATAATGAAGCATAAAAATGCTCAACCTGAATGGAGGACCCGCGGATCCTGAGGTTGCAGCATTATACTGGGGATCTGATGCTAGGAAGCTCTCGCAGAAGCCCAGGCAAGGAGGAAGATGAGCTCCCAGAGTGCACTATCATGTGGTTATCTGACAAGGACATGATAAAAATCATCTGTCCAACAACTGCAGACAGTTTTCCACATTATACAATTCCTATATAAACAGAAGGAAATTACTGATAAGGAAATATTTCCCATCAGGTCCTTTCCCTGTTTTGACCATCAACTGTGAACTGCAAGCAATGGGCAGTCAATTCTCACCGCAACGCGAAGCATGCATTCAGCTCCCATGGTAGCCATTACCTTGGAAATCAAGCGAGAACGGAAACCGCTGCCACGAATGCTTCGTTATTCCCGCGAGAGACGAACGTATTCATGCAAACGCTATCTACAAACTCGGGTAAATGGTGAAGTACTCACCTCCCCCTCAGTAGTCCCGCGAATGTATCACGATGAGCACAAGCCACCTCTTCATGAGTCGAGCGAGTTCAATTCATGCCTATTCCTAGGATGGCAGAGCGCATCCAAGTCTCTAGAGAGCTGAATGTGCTTGCTCTTCACCACGCACACAACACGCGAGCAGTGTGAAACTGCGGATATCAGAGCAAAGCTTCTGACGAAGGAAACATGCACGCCCAGTCGTGCTTAGCTTAATGCTAACATAAACAAACAGTCAGTGAAGACAAAGAAGAGGATGACGTGTTCTCCCGGTGCCCTTTTATACTGTGGTCACACCGGTAATGACGTCATAGGCTGTCGCCGGCCAATGTTATTGTTGTGTTTAGATGTATGCTTCAGACACCGGTCTCGCCGAATGTGTTGCCCCTAAAGCGACCTCTAGATCAGTGTTTCTCAACCAGTGGGTCGCGACCCACTAGTGGGTCGAGGATCATTCCGTAGGGGGTCGCGAGACTTTCTCTGTGTTCTCGGTGTTACACCGGCACAGTAAGTGCACTTCACAAAAGGCTCATTGAAACAGTGACCTCCAACAAATCGTATTTTCGAATGTCGCATGTTGAATCATTATTGCCGTAACTTTCTAACGCTGTTTCTAAACTGTCCTATCACAACAATTTATCGCTGCCGCGAACGTCTCTTATTGGACAAGGTCCTACGCTCTTTACGTAATGTTACACACGCTAGCAGCTGTTTACCCCGTTGCTTGGTAACGACGGCGCAGGAGATTGCAATGCATTGCTATGCCAGACCTACTATACACAGCCACGGCCTGTTAGCTTGACAAAATGCATTCGTTTTTAAAAAAAAAAAAAGGCAGAAGATTCAGAAACTCCTTCCACTTCAAAGGCAGCAAAATGTAAACAACGCAAGTACAACCCAGACTATGTTAAATATGGATTCACTGGATTCACCCTTTCCCGAATTCCACCGCATCTGGATACCATCATTTCAGAGTGGCAGTCTCAAATGTCTCATTAACGTGAGTTAATAAATAAATAAAATAAAATAAATAAATCAGTTTGCCTCATAGTCTGTCTAATTATTGAACGTTTTTGTGAAATTAATTATAATAAACATATACGGTGTAGCCTAGGTCTAAAGAGGCATTTCAGTTATTTATTTATTTCCAGCCTTAGTGGGCCGTATGACTGGCATACAAAAAAAAGTGGATCGCAGTAGGCAAAAGGTTGAGAAACCCTGCTCTAGATGACGCAATTCGAAGTTCCATCGGAAGGGAACTGATTTTTCCAATGAATCTAATTGCACGAACATGATTATAAAATAACCTGTGAACATAAGAACTTTTTCAATTTTAAACCTATGGGTTGTATCTATCTGCATGTCTGTTTGTACTCACTGTACTAACTTCTGTTGTATACTGTATACCCACTCTCACATACACACACTCAGATACTCACATTACCATTTGCTTATGATATGATGCAGTTCTTGCTCTTCCGCCGTTTGCGTGTATGTAGTTGAGTGTGACCACCCATCACTGTAGGACTGTAACGATGTCGTAATTCCTCGTTGTCAAAGTATCGCAGCTGCACTGGCCGTGGAATGACTTCACCCAGAAGGTAACCATCATCCTCTGACACCTCTGATGAAGAGGAACAGGTTGAGCAAAACTGATCTTCATCCTCAACTGTTTCTCCATTCCTACCCATATACTGTCCAATCTGTGGACCTCTAGGATCCTGCAAGTTGAGGTCAGAGGTGGTTCGAGGACAAGGCCCAAAGAATTGTTGTCGAAACCCATAATTTGCTCCAAAGAGATTGTGTGACACTCTTGATGAGGATGGTCGCTCAAAGTCATTGTGAAATCTATGAATGGAGTCCCCAGGTAAACTCTGATTGTCTGTGGCTAAATGCAGGGCATTGTCTGACCGAGAGCGGCGGGAGCGGTAGTGATATTTGTGACCTTTGCGGCCTTTGCGGTGGTGACGTTGACGTTGGCGCTGCTGTCTGGGTGAGTCTTGTGTCTGAGTGCATCTTGGCCGTGGTGTCATTGCTTGGGCATTACCTTCCTGCATACAGGACATGCTTCCTGCAAGACCAATGCGACCTTTGACAGGATCCTCAAAACTTAAACCTCTAGGTGAATCCCAGTATAGTGGAGGAGGGTACCTTACTCTGACAGGCATGCCAATATCAGCAAGAGGTCTTGGGACAGAGCTCAGGGATTCAGTGCTGCGCAACTGCATTGATGAGTTTAATGTACCCATGGTGCCTTTATCAGACACATTTACCCCAGAGTCTTTACTCAGGTCAGGCATAGAAAATCTAGAGAAGTGCTCCTGATGCCTGTTGGTCCCATCTAAAGAGTTTCCTGCTGAAAACAAACAATGGACAGAGATCAGACGTAGTTATACTACATAAAATGTGTGACAGTTTGAATAAACCAATTAATGTCTTGTTTTGAACATACTTCTGTCAGATAGTGATATGACGTATCATGATATATGTACCAGTCTAACTGAATTTATGCATACCTGTAGTGTAGGAAAGGGCCAGTGAATCAGTAGAACCTCTTGGTGTTTGTTCTAGTGGCGTAAGTTCACTAAAGCTTGGCCCAAATTGGTGCCTGCTCCTCAGCAATGGAGGACGCATCTCTCGGGGAAAGCCTTGCATGCTTATACTGCGTTTGTCCAAAAATCCAGAATTACGGCTTGGTACTTCATTGAAGCTCATTTGTGTTTTGAGCTTAGGAGCATGAAATTCAGGTTCCTGGCCATGGTGCATCCAGTTCTCATTGAAAGAGTGGCCCCTCAGAGCAGCCATGACTGGAGGCTTTTTTGAATTACCCCCAGGTTGTTCTTTGGACCAAGATTCTGGACTGCTCACTATCTTAGGTGGCTGATTGGGAGAAGGAGGGTAAGCGCTACGCATGCTGCATTGGCTCCGTAGCTGATGGGGATTTGAAGATGTGGAGGAATCTCTTTGTTGAGACTCATAGGAATAAGGCTCATCTCTGTTTACCCAAACTGATTGCTCACGGTTCAGATTTGGAGACCGATTTGGGGTTCTACTTGGGGTTCTCGTCGGTGTGCGGTGGGGTGTACGGCTGGGAGCTGGGTTGGAGATGCTCAGCAAATCCATTTGAACAGCTAGAGGCTCTGCATCACCAACCAATGGTATAGGGCCAGATGATGTTTGATGTACACCTTCACCTTTGCCTTTTGTCCCATCCTTGCCAATCCGAGTACTGTGGCGTGACTGACGGGAACGGGCACTCTGGAAAGCGGAGTCTGAAGAGTCTGACAACTCAGGTTCATCCCCTTGGCTGCAGAGATGGGAACAGTAGATCAAACCTTGTTTCGGCAGGAAGGGACAACCCAGCAAAGAATGATTGCAACGAGCACAGCTGAAGCACTCTTCAGTGGCATGCCAGTGTTGACCTTCATATGTCATCTGACCTTGGTCTATACCTAAAACACATTACATAAAAATGACATTAGACATCACATAAAATTCTTCTTGGCTGATGATGACTTTAAATGTAGTGTGAGAAGAAAAAAACAGTACTGGGATGAATCTCAATTCACATTTTAACATTCATTCACATTTTTGTTTCACAAAGATTAGTTTTTGCAGTGTAGTGTTACTTTTAAAGAGACATATTTGTATCTTAACTACACATGAATGTGTCTTTAAGGGTACTTTCTCAGTGACAAGCTGTTGTACCTCTAAAAAAAAAAAAAATTTCACAGTGTTGCAAAGCTTTGTGTGACAATGCATAAAACCAGTGGTAGTGAACTGCAGTCAGCTACTTACTGCTCATGCTCATGCTGGTGCTCGTGCACACACCCCATAGTTATGTGAGTGAGCATCAGCAAAGCTGTGTATATATTGTACAAGAGACTTAACATGATAAGGTAAGAGTAACAATATGTATCCTAAGGTAATTAAATTAATTAAGGACAGATAAGGTAATTAAAATTGTATTGTTACGATAGTTTGACTATAAACTATCTAGATCTGGCTACTCAAGACTATAATTTGAAATAATTCCATCTCTTTGCATGATACTGTATATTGAGTGCATTTATGTGATAGCTTATGCCAACGTTGGCTAGCTAACCAGTCTTATTAAATTTGGTGGATGATAAGAGTAATTATTAGCAAAGTAGACTGCACAAATAAAATAAATACACATACTAATAAAACATGCTGACATACTTCTGTATTAACATGATCCCAGTACAACTTCATTAAATCAGTGTACTAGAATATACATTTTATAATCAAGTAACATTACAGTACATACTGACCCTAGTATTCCCTGAAAGTTATTCATATTCTCACTTGGCCAGATGGGATTTACTGTATAAAACATTGCAAGTTAGGCATGTAACCATGGTTCTCTTTCAAATGAGAACTCAAGCTGCATCCTCTTGAGGGTGCTATGGCGAATGGGATACCCACACCGCCAAAATGAAGGTACGAGTGCCTTAATGGCTCAAGTCAAAGACTCAAAGGATTCCTCATTCCTGAGGTGCACACAAGCAACGTTTCAAAGACCGAAGCTTCTTAAAAAACAGAGGACTCAAAGAGTGACTCTCGAGAGAGGAAGCCATTGATATTTGATTCAGGCTGGCATCCAAGGAGGCTCCAGAGAGCCTAAGAATATCTGTTCAGAAAAAGAGTTATAAACTCAAAACAACAACGCTTAAAATGAGAGAAGGCCTACCAACACTCTACACTAGTGTCAATGGCTAAGGAGGCTCCCAGGAAGCCTACAACCTAGCAAACTACTGTCTAGCCAAGCTCTTGGAGTGGAGGCCTCAGTATGTACTACTCCCCAAGTCGAGAGGAGACCTAACAATGCCCCACGCTCAGGGTATCTTGACAGGAGGCTCACAAAGAGCCTACTACTTACCATTACTCTTTGAGCAGAGGCCTTAATGAGAGGAGGCCTAACAACTTTTACAGTATGCAAGGAGGCTCACAGAGAACCTAGTAAGTTGAGAGGAGACCTAACTACGTCCAGCACTCAAGACAGCAACCTACAACTCGCAGTTGATATACTAGCAGAGCTATATGTATTTGTTCATTACACATGCGTACTGATCCGAAAATTTTCGGTATAAATATGTGTACCGTTACACCCCTAATATATATAAATATAGGCTATTCATTTACACATTGGATATATATATATATATATATATATATATATTAGGGTGACACAGTACACATATTCTTGGTCTTTCGGTTCAGTACACATGTGTAATGAACAAATACAGCATTAATTTAACCACTGCACTAGCGCAAATTCCTTGGAAACTTCCAGTTTTATATATTGGTACTTTTGATAAGCAACGTCTCGAGGTTACGTATGTAACCATGGTTCCCCAAAGGGAACACCCTGGTGACACCACGTTCTGAAGCATGTGTGAAATCAGTCCAATAGAGAAGCGAGACATCACGAGCGGGTAGACGTGAGCAACTAGCAAGCATAAATGTGCATCCGGCAAGCACACGTTAGCTTCTGCGGAAGCGAGGGTAGTAAGCATCTTGAACCGAAACCATTTGATAGTGCGGTTCAATAGACACAGATCTATGATCGGACGCAACCCCCCATCTTTCTTCGGAAAGATGAAGTAACTGCTGTAGAACCCTGATTATCTCGAGAGCGGAGGAACACATTCTATGGCCTCCTTCCTCAAGAGAGTTTCTACTTCCTGTTCCAATACCAGAGCCTGTTCGGGGCCCACTAATGTAGGAATAACCACGTTGAAGCGAGGTGGACAAGAACCAAACTGAATTCTGTAACCGCTCTCTACAGTGTGCAGGACCCATTGTGAGACATTTGGCAGAAGTTTCCACGTTGTCAGAAAGTTTACTAAGGGAACCAGTCTCTCGAGACTGGCCTCTGGTGTCACTAAAGGAGCCACTTCGGTGCCATGAAGCAGATGACCGGCAGGGAACACATGCATATTCTGCTCCCAAACAGACAACGGGAAAAAAAAAATTGTGTGTAAACCCAACCGAGAGATAGCGTGGGCAGGGAGGAACACACGACTTGAAATGCCGCTGAAGAGCAGAAGCTAACATGTGAGCTTGCCGGATGTGCCTTTATGCTTCCTGGTTGCTCACGTCACCCAGCTCGTGACATCTCGCTTCTCTATTGGACTGATTTCACACATGCTTTAGAACATGGTCTCGCCAGGGCGTTCCCAAAGTGTTTCGATGCAGCTCGAGTTCCTGAAGGGGAACAAAGTCTTGATCTAAATCTTTCGAATTATGTCAAATTTTTTTTTCAGGTAAAAGAAACAACAGCCAGTGCTCCACACAGAGATCTGATCTCATCAGATCATATCAAAGGGCATCCGATGACCCCTTTAAATTCAAAATGGTCAAATGGAGTGATGCAGAAATGCATGTTGACATGTATACAACCACTTCTATATGAACCTTCAGGCCTTGGACAAACCTTGCATTTCTAAGGGGAGGGGTTCTGATCTCATCATCATCCAAATCTGATCTCATCATCATCATCCAGTCTGTCTGGAATGACATGAAGAAACAGAACAAACAGAGACAGCCTAAATCCAGAAGAACTGTGGCAACGTCTCTAAGATGCTTCAAGAAACCTACCTGCAAAGCTACCTGAAAAACAAGTGCACCGAGGGCAAAAGCTACTTTAAATGCAAAGTATGTCACACCAAATGTTGATTTAATTTAGTTCATAGAAGTTAACTGATAAAGAAAATCTATTTATGACATTAGTTTTGACAGCATCCTCATTTTACAGCATTTTTACATAAGTGCTTAAAACTTTTAACAGTATTGTAGCTGGGTGAATATTTATCATTATAGGGTGGATGTGTACACACACTGCTAACACACATTTATGTTAAAACAACATGTAAAAGTGAATTTTGTATCTGATGACCCCTTTAAGAGCTCTCTCTCTACTTGGGGACTCTATGCTTTTAAGTGGCAGCTATTTGTGTCATGGTGAAGAGTACAATCTGAATCCAGTTAAGAGTGCAAATTGGATCCACTGTTGTCCACAGTCCTGCCATTTTTAGCGGTGTTCTTCGGTGAGTGCTGCTCCAGCTACACATACGTTTACACAGCACTGATTGCTGCTGGATCAGTTTATATTTTTCATTTGGGGAGGCTCACTGGCTCACTAAACAGGGCTTTCGCACCGTGTAGTTCTAGGAAGCAGGGTTGTTCCTAGAGAACCAATTTCTCCCTCAAGCCGTTTTCAAGTGGCCGATAGTGAAGTCTTTCTTCGCAGCATTTTCAAACATCTACAACTGGTGAATGGAGAATGCCGTGATCAGAGCGCTTTTTGTTGTGTATCATGGGTTTCATGATAACGGATATGTTATGTAAATGCATAGTTTTCGTGATTGAAAGAGCATGAAAATTTGACTAAATCTCCTATGACAACTTGTAGTGTTACATATCATCAAACCTGAGAAAACAACAATGCTGCAGACAGGTAAATGCCATTATCACTGTTTTCCATGTTTGAGGAGTAAATATGTTTACATAGCTTTTTTTTAAATCCCAGGTAGCTGGTGTTTTTTGTGTGTGTTTGGCCAATCAGCATACACTGCGTCACTGGTAGAACTGTTTTGAACCCTACTCTGAAGTAGGAGCTAAATTAGTTCCCCCAAACTAAATTTCTAGAACTAAATATGTTCCTAGTTTCTGTGGTGCGAACTCACCAAAAAGCAGGAACTTCCGTCAATAGTTTTAGGAACTATGAAATGGTTCCTCTGGTGCGAAAGCCCCGTATGGCTTTGGGGTATAGTGTTCCAGAAGTGTTTTTTTTTTTGCACAAATAATGCAAAACCTCAGAGGGCGGTACTAGTGCCATCAGCCAATTCTATACATGCTTCATACAATCTTTACACCTGGAGAGTGTTTACATAGCATTAACATCTGATGCAGCATGTCGTATCCTACTCAGGGAAACAGGGATTCATACATAACCAAAATATTATGTTCTAGTACTCTTTGTTTGTAGGAAATGTAACGGGATTAATTTGCCTTCCTAAAGATAAACGGTCTGATAAAGGGAATCTTTTACAAACATTCTCAGATAGTATACGGGCTTGTGTTACTTCTGCCAACTTGAGTTGATGCATTCAATGTGGACAACCTCAAGCTATTGCAGCAAGAAGTGATACAACAATGGACACAACTGGTATACACTCAAGCTGTATCCGAAATTGCCCCTGTACCCTTATATAGTGCACTATTTGAAGGGACAGTCATCTAGCATGCACTAGAGAACACCCATGTACTGTGAAAATTCAGTATTTCCAGCAAATTAAGTGCCTAAATCCACTCACACATTTTCATTCACTCCTTCAAGTGGACTTTATTAGAGGACTAATAGTAATTAGGGTATAGGGGGCTATATTGCACTACAGCTGTGGTGTAGTCCCAATTCAGAATATTTTACTTTAGCACGATCAAAATTTTGTACTAACATTTTTGTTTTCTTTTTTAATTTTTTTAAACAAATATTATTGTTCCCAACTGCATACAGCACTTTTAAAACTTCTAATAATATAATACCACACCTATAATAATGATAATATAATAATAGAAAATATTTATAAAATATCACATGGTGAAATTCAAGAAAGGCGCTTTTCCACCGAAATTACCTGGAACAATTTGTCCCAGGAAATTTTTCCCCAGACCTGTTGCTGTCTGTGTTTCCATCGCGGTCTAAAGTACCGAGAAGTTTAGGCTAATAGTCTGGTGACGTAGGTCTGCGCGCATTTCTCAATACCAAGTATGCAAATAAATAGTCCTGTAATTCTGCAAATGGAACAGCAGCGTACTCGATAACGTCAGGCAGCTCGCCTTGGCTACTGCAATTTTCCTCACTGTATTTACAATAATACGAAATATGATATCAAACACCACTGCCTCTTTTCGTTTTCATTTAAACATATTAATAGCCACAGAAATGTAGATCAGGGAACGTACCTACATTACAAAGAAACAAAATATTATATCAAACAGTATTGCCTCTTTCCATTTTAATTTTAACATATTAATAGATTAATAGAATAAAGACCAAAGATTACCTGTTAGATTTACCCTAAATTAATTCTATTTTATGTTAAACCACTACAGAGACATCAGAGCCAGCGGCAAATGTCAGAAGGACTAACCGAGTTGAGGCTGCTCTCGTTGGGACAGATGAGCCCTGAGCGCCCGCTGATCGCGTGGAGCTCACGTCTCCAAAATCAGCGACGCACATTTTCAAATAGGCGCCGTCTTTATAAATAAACCGCAGATTTGAGTTTTAAAAAACTACATTCTCACCTGAAATACTACAAAAACTACATTTCATGATACAATAACGGTAATATTTTTAAAAATGATACGAATATATGCTGGTTGAAATACAATAGGTGTGTTCGACTTCATGCAGCGCTGCGCAGACCGATCGACGAGAGTAGCCGCTTGCAGGCTGGGGCGGAATTGAAAGCAAAGAAAGTCAGACACTTTCTGCTCCCAGTAGTGACACACTCGCTGTGTTTGCATACTCTATCACAGATGAAGTGAATAACATGGAATATTTGTCAAATACATAGACGTTTCAGAAACGTTTTCATGAGCAATAGAAATACTTTTTATATACTGCTTAATGCAGCGCCATGTGTTCAAGAATAAAGTTCAACATAAACATATACTATTTAAATACCAATAGTGGGGGAATATATGCTTTTATCAGTGTTTTTTTGATAAACGTGACTCAATATAACATTGCGACTACAGTAAAAAAGCTTTTAATGTTCTAAAAACAGATTTGTGAGCAGTATTGGATTTGAAGATGTTAGAAACACACGTCATTGTTGTCATGTGGTGAATTTGGCCAATCGTGAAACAGCTGTGCCATCATCAGCACTCCTGCAGTCACTCTGAAAAAGCTGCACCAGCTGAGTCAGCCAGCTGCTCTTGAAACGCTATTGCGGTACTTTGATGCCACACGTGACAGTGACGTGTCGTCGGCACCGGTTCAAGTCGGACAAAATTTCTAACCGGCATGCACTGCTTCAAGTCAGCCGCCGATCAACCTACAGTTGCGTGAACTCAACCAATCAGCATGTTCAGCGCCCAAGTCCCACCCCCGAAAGTTCCGGACCTTTGAAAAAGTACTACCTCACGAGCAGGGACTTTCTGAGTGGCAAATTTTTACCCAGAACTTTATTTAGATCCTGGTTCCTGCGGTGGAAACGGGGCTTAAGTGAAAGTGAAAGTGACGTGACATTTGGCCAAGTATGGTTACCCACACTAGGAATTAGTGCTCTGCATTTAACCCATCCTAAGTGCACACACACACCCGGAGCAGTGGGCAGCCATTTATGCTGCGGTGCCCGGGGAGCAGTCAGGGGTTCCGGGCCTTGCTCAAGGACACCTCAGTCGTGGTATTGAAGATGGAAGAGAGCTTTTTAAGGTGTGCTTTTTTTTTTTTTGTAAATGCACATCTAAACTAGTTTCATAAATAAAACAAAAATGCTCAATTATTAATTAAACCTGTGGTAAATTATTGTTTTCCATAATAAAATTGTTGTTCGGTTTTTTTTCCTAGCACTTTTCCAACACACCCAAGCAAATGAGGTATCACATATGGACCAAAAATAGATTTTTACAGTTAATATTTTTGCACTGCCTTTATGAATTAAACTCAATTTGATTAACTTTTAACAGGGTTTGTGTTGCATGTCATAGACAACAATGTTAGCATCTAAATTTGTTTTCATTTAATTTTAATTTTAATCTCACCAGAAGTGGTAGGATTTCTGGGCAGTTTTTACTGAATGTTTTATGAATAGTGCAAATTCAGACAAACTACTTATTTAGCATGCTTTTATTGCATTATTTTATTGCATTATTCATGAATTGCTTTTATTCTACTGTATAGTAGGGAAGTAGACATATTCAGATTGCGGGTGACTCTCAGACACAAATGCAGTCCAACCATACTTGTAAGTGTAATCTGTAATTTAGGGCTAATTTAGTGTAATTTAGAGTTCTTTGAGTAAAAATTATCAAATATCTTAAGTTTGTGAATAAAAGTCAAAAATAGCAGTCTAAGGAAACACAACAGCAAATTCATGTCATAGAGACTAGAAATGCAAATGGCTGTGCATGTATGTGCATCCATTCATTTATAGATAGCCATAAAATATGTGGGTATGTGCATAATCTACTATGATCTTAGAAAAACAATATATGTATAATATATTTGTTCATTTTGCTGCATGCAGTGCTGATTTGCAGCACTCATTTGTGTGATAATTTTTATTATTCTACCTTTTTTTAACCCAGAAGCAGTTGTACTGTAATGAGGGAAGAAAGAAAACAAGATTAATGGAGGTCCTTCCTTACCTATGTGCTCTCCACAAGAGTCACAGTATTCTGCATAAAGTGACTCGAAGCAGTTGCAGCAGTGAGGATGTCCCTCACGCATGATGTAGCGCTGACCTCCTAGTGGGGCCTCACACTCATAACAGCAAAAATGTCTCATGTGCCAGTGATGCCCCTCTGCTTCTGTGCACTCATCTGCAAAGATAATCTAGAAAAAGAGATACAAATTAAGTAAGGAGTTTTATATTCTGAAGCAAGGCTTCTGGGTACTGACTTGTCAAAGGTAACCTACAGGAAATGTGTAGGCATGCTAACGGGATCAAGGTTGATTTCAGCCAGTGGACAGATGCTTGGACTTTACACTGTTGGCTTACCTCATCACATGCTGAGCAACGTGGCTTGAGTCGTTCAGCATGGTGACGGCCACAGTAGATCTTGCCATCAAGGTAGAAGTAGATGAGATCTACCAATAACTCCGAACACACACAGCACACGAAACAGCGAGGGTGCCAACACAGGCCATGGCCAACCCGTGAGGCAAACACTGCAATGTCACCACCGTTGATCTGGTCTCCACACTGTGTGAGAAGGACATGATGTCATTTGGCAGCCTCTCTGCGTAACATGCCATGTTTAATCATTACTGAAAAATATACTGAAACATTTTTACTGCATCTAGGGTTTGCATGGCAATTCATTTTTTCTAATCCTGTTCACTAGTCCAGAAAAGTAATTCACTGGTCGATCAGTCAATGTTTAACTTTACTGGTGGTGGCCACATAGTGACTATCAGTGAGATGACGAGGGTTAGAAATGGAAGCTTGCATCTCCACTAAAAGATGAATACTGTTTTCATTGTCATAAATGTGTGCCAGGTTAGGGTAAGGTATATGTGGTGTTATTTAGTACTCGTATATGTACCTGTTCACATATAGCTCCAGTTACAGTGAGGGGTAGAGGTCGGACAGTGCCTCTGCCTAGATTGTCTCGCTTTCGCTGGTTACTGAAGATCTTTAATTCCCGCTTTTCTTCTTCATCCAGTGATGTACAGTAACGAACCTGACATCAGTACACATCATCAGTAATAAGAATCATCAAGGATCAACTACTGCAAATGTTTTACTTGATGAGATTCATTCAGTGGTGTTATAAAATGCTGATAAACACACACCTGTGACTGCACATTCAATTTTAATACTTGGCAATCATAAACCGCTATGAATTAAGTTATAAATGAACTATATTTCATGGCACAGGAAATATTTCATTAGATTAATATTATTAATAAAATTGCATCTATATATATATATATATATATATATATATATTTAATTTCTCCTCCACTTTGCCTAAGAATGCCCCTTACTTGTGGTAAAATCACTACCATACTGCCTCAAATGGCTTTTTGTTTTATGAAATAGAAATGTACTCTGGCTACAGATACCCATGATTACAAATTAATACAATTGTAATATATATATATATATATATATATATATGAGAAAAAAACAGGTGGAGAAGACACGTTAACTGCAAAAGTATTAAGAATTAAGGTGAAGAATTAGGTGTAAAACCATCAAGAAACCATCTTTTTCACAATCCAATGGACAATAACGCACAAAATTATGTAAGTCTTAAATTAGCTAAAAAGTCCTAAATGACCATAAAGAGTTGGGAGAAAATCGGGTGTGTCAGATCCATGTCATGTTTTAAAGAGACACCACTGCTTTTAAAGTAAAACCTGCTGAGTCTGTGTAATTGATGTAAATCAAAGAACAAAAGAAAAAGAGGAATAAATTAGTATAGTAGCTTAAATAAAGATTCTATTAAATATTTAATTTATATTTTATGCATATACTATTTATAGGTGTATGTGAGGATTACATTCACTTAAATGAAAAATTGTTATATTTTTCTAAGCCTATTAAATATTAGAATAATGTCCTTCAATTATACTATAATGTTGAATGGCTATAAAATAATGGCTAAAAAACAAGGGGAAAAATGCATTTAATAGAGATATCAGTAGCAGTCAGTAATGGTATCTTTTTACTTAGTAGTCTATTATTATTGTAGGCCAGTATCTATTATATATATATATTTTTTGGATGCGATTAATTGCAATTAATCGTTTGACAGTACTAATTAAAATGTGATTCTTTTTTCGAGGGAACTCAAACCGTGTCCTCTAGTGGTCGCTATGGGGAACTAAACAGGCCAATAACATTGGCCGGGCGACAGCCTGTGGCATCACTACTGGTGCAACCACTGTATGAAAGAGCACCAGGAGAATATGCCTTCCTCTTCTTCATCTTCACTGCCATTTGTCTATGTTAGCAGCTAAGCACGACTAGGAGTGCATGTTCTCTCGTCAGAGGCTTTGCTGATACCCGCGGTTCCAGAGTTTTGGAGCAAGGGAGGCAAATGGCCGGTCACCCATAGAGCATAGACGAGTTGAGGGAACAGTCAAAAGGCCAGAATCAGAGGAACAGAGAACACGCCTAGGAGAGTAAACAGTCAGAATTTCTGATAGATAATAAGGTGCCAAACCATACAAGGCCTTATACGTAAGCATGAGTAATTTAAAGTCAATACGAAACCTAACAGGGAGCCAGTGTAGGGATTCCAAAATTGGAGTGATGTGCTCCCTAGTTCTGGTCCCTGTCAGGATTCTAGCAGCTGAGTTTTGGACATACTGCAGTTTATTTAGGGTAGTTTTTGAAACACCTGCAAGCAAAGCATTGCAGTAATCGATGCGGGAAAAAAAACAAATGTTTTGATCAGTTTTTCAGCAACAGTAAAGGACAGCATGGGGCGTATTTGTGCAATATTTCGGAGATGAAAAAATTACGTTTTAACAGTGTTCTGAACATGGGGGTCAAATGTTAAATGAGCGTCAAATATCACCCCCTGTCATGATTCGCTGCTGGAAGGAACAATGAAGACGTGGATAACATAAACGGTATTTAATGAGAGAATCACAGGGGTAAATCCACAACAGGAACAGGAGTAAACACACGTAATCCAACAAGTAGACCCGACAAACACAGACTGAACAGACTGTGGCTTAAATACACAGGATAACGAGGGAACTGGGAGGAACACAGGTGAACAGAATGACTAATTAAGAGACAACGAGGACAGAAACGACCAAATAAGGGCACATGAGGGAGAAACTGGGTCACGGGGAGCACATGGGGAGCAAAACACAACAAAGACAGTCCAGTCCTGACATTTTGCCCCCATGCCGGATGGCGCGAACCAAAAGAGGGAGGGATGGGTGGGAAATGGGAGGAGGCTCAGGAGGAGGACGGACACTCGGAAGGGGGCCGGCAGACAGAGTCCAGGGAGGTGACGATGGAGGGAGGAGCCAAAGAGGAAACAGGAGGCGACAGGGTGGATTAGACGGAGGAAGGAGCCAGGGAGATGACAGGAGGGACTTGGAGTATGCAGCGCCAGGTGGGACCCAGGCCACAGCCATAATGTCGACCCACGGTGGAGCCGACGGAGGGAGGAGCCATGGAGGAGGAAGGGCTGACGACTCCAGGGGGCCAACCGACTGCAGTTGGCAGAGGAGCCCGAGGTGGAGATGGAGAACCGATGAGCCAGGATGACAAGGAGGATCCGGAGGGCCAAGGCGGCACAGATGGCGCCGGCGACCAAGGCGGAGGCGGGGATACGGAAGGCCACGGTGGAACTGGAGCGACAGAGGACTGAGGAAGAGCCGAAGGGATGGAGGAGCCTGACAGAGCCGGAGGGACGAGGCGCAGCTGGAGGAGTAGAGTCAAACTGGGTCAAAGGGACCACATGGGGAGCAAAACACAACAAATACAGTCCAATCCTGACACCCCCAAGTTCTTTAATTTTGTTTGAAATTCCAAGACGGAATCATCTACAGTAAGTGTTAAATGTCCAGCTTTACGTAGTTGATGGGTTGAGCCAATACGCATAACCTCCGTCTTATCACTGTTAAGGCAAAGACAATGTTAAGACATCCATATTTTTATCTCAGAGATGCAATGTTCCAGGAAACCAACAGCTGGATAGTCACCCGGTTTTGAGCAAATGTACACCTGGGTGTCATCTGTATAGTAGTGATAGTTAAGACCAAGAGATCTAAGGAGATGACCAAGAGGGAAAATATACATACAGAAGAGTAATGGACTCCGAAGTGATCTCTGGGGTACCCCAAATTTGACTGAGCCAATTTTAGACTTGTATCCACCCATGGAGAGAAACTGCCTGCAGTCTAAGAAGTAAGGCTTGAACCAATTTAATGCAGTCTCTGTAATACAAAACACAGATTCCATCCGAGAGAGTAAAAGAGAATGATCAACCGTGTCAAAGGCTGCGCTGAGATCAAGAAGAATCAAAATTGACAGGCAGCCAGAGTCTGCAGCAAGTAACAAGTCATTAGTAACCTTCACTAATGCGGTTTCTGTGCTATGAAACTTACGGAATCCAGATTGAAAAGGCTCAAACTAATTATTAAGTGTAAGGTGGGTATGTAATTGAGGTGCCACAATTTGCTCCAGAATTTTGGCTAAAAAGGGAAGATTTGAAATGGGACGGTAATTATTGAAATTGTCCAGGTCAGTGTTAGTCTTTTTTGGTACAGGGGTAACCGAAGCGATTTTGAAAGGTGCTAGCACAACACCAAAGCCCAGGGAGTCATTAACAATACTCAACACGACAGTGCCTACAACATGCTTTAACCTGTTAACCTGCACCCCCCCTCCTGACTTCACTGTGCTACACACACAATTTTGGTGTCTTTGGAAAGAAGACACTTTGGATTTTACTATCCATCATCCAGAGTTGATAATGCTCAAAAAGATAAAAAGTTAGACACTGAAGTGCCTTAAAAAATTGTATAAAAAAAAAAAATACAATTATTTCATATAAAAATACATGGAATCAGTCCTAGTGCAATCCAGAAAAGAATTGGGTTGAAAGTCACATGTCTCATGAGTTTATATTTCAAATCTGAAGATACCATGAAAAATGAGATTCCTGCAACCATTTTTCTGAGACTATGTCTAGTCCCCCCCCCCTTGAAGGTTTATACAAACTATTTTAGTCATTATACATACCACTGCATAGTTTTTCAATTATAAAACAATAGACAGAATCTTAGACATTGTATAAGTGATTTATTTGAGCACTAGAAAAATACAAGAATAATTTGAGTAATAAAAAGAAAAAAAAAAAAAAAGAATTAACTATGTATGCCAAGTACATACTGTGATTACTACACATACAGCATTCACACTGATAGCTGCTCATACAGTCAGTAATCACATGCTGATGGCCGGTCATACAGATGGTAATCATACACATGGCCGGCCATATAGTCAATAATCACACTCTAATGGCCATTCATATAGACCGCATTCACACTGATAGCTGTCATACAGACAGCAATCACACGCTGATGTGTGGTCATACAGATGGTAATCATGCTTATACAGCCACATTCCCCACAAAACACACACACATATATGAAAAATGTTGAAGAAGAAAAAAAAAAGAATTATTTGTGCAAAAAGCCGATCACTAAATTACGTCCCCATCAGATGACAGGTGCGTCACAGCGAGTCACAGTTTTTTGAGCATAAGTTATTCCATAACGGATACAAACAATAACTGTCCTCAAAGAAATGAGACGTAAACAAAGGAATTACCATCCATATTACAATGTTATTGTTTCGTTGGACTAAAAGGGCTCTATGGGATGTTGTTCAGTGGACGCTTACCTTTCTAACTAAACCGGGATTTACAGCTGTGGTTGCGTTTATGACTCGTTATTACGATGAATCCGGTCGTGCTTCAAGCGGGGGCTAACGACACCAAGCTGCGGCAGACATAGGACACAGATCTAGATTTCCTAGGTGCAAAAGAGTCCAAAGCAGAGAGTAGAGCAGAATTTAACACAGAGACTTTGTCCTCCAGGGAGTCAGACCTGTGGGGGTAAGTTCATTAAACAGAAGTCAATCAGACTGGCTGTGCCAAGTTTCCGTTAAGCACACCAAATCAAGTTCATTTTCCACAATAAAATCCGATAAGATGAGAGACTTTACCGAACGTGCATTAAAAAGTGCCGATTTCACCTGAGGCAGGGCTGTAGAGGACAGTGACGACTGCTCTATGCATTGAAGTGCTGACAAGTTATTCAAATCATCGACAACACGCACACCAATCGATGATTTTTGTGCTGAAATGATGGCACCAAGATGTAATCCGATGAGGAGTGAGTAAACCTGCGCCTTGATGTGCAGTGTATATATCGCGGAGGTCGCAGAATACTGACATTACGGCACAGTTCATATGTGTCGTTAGATAGATAATTCCTCTTTAGGTTCAGTAGATTGCGAGCAGTGTACGTTAAGACCATGAAGTGAAGTGACATGTGGCCAAGTATGGTGATCCCATACTCAGAATTAGTGATCTGCATTTGTCCCATCCAAAGTGCACACACACAGCAGTGAACACACACACACTGTGAACACACACCTGGAGCAGTGTGCGTGCGCACCCCGTGCGCAGTTGAAGAGGTATTCCTCAGCAGCAGAAGTTTTGTTGCCGTATAAATCCTGATCCCAGCAGTAGAAGTGATCCACGCAGATATAACTCACTAATAAAAACAGTAGTCCACAAATTAAAATGCCGTTCCGCATTACGCTGAAGAGGGAAATAACCGGGCACTTTCTAAAGCTCCAAAAAGTCTCTGCACTGGATCGCAGAAATGTTAAAATAAATAAAACAGGAGAAATTAGTGGCAACCAAACGTGCCAGTATTCCCCTTCAACCGGAAATTGTGTTTCGGAAAACATCCCTCGTGCTCCTGAGGGCTGCTTGTGGGTAAATCTCCGGTACAGAATCCTAGTTCTCGTGATAGTTGCAGGTTGAGCATGGCATTACTCCTCTCACTCCCAAGTGATATTACATACTCTGCTCCTTGATGACCGTGCCAGGTTTTTTGGCTTCAAGAAGCCTTTTTGAGTACACCATTTTACCTGAGGTAGTGTGATGGTACTCCTTTCTTTCTGAAGGTCTATTATTGAGCTCACTCTGAGGAGCCTAATCATGTGCACCTATGGCTCTGTGTCCTGACTTGCTCTAATGGTGGAGCTGGCATTGCTTCCCATGATCCAAAGGGTGGTGCAAGAGCCTGCCGCTACCACAAGCCTCTTCACCAGGCTCCTTTCGAGCCTAGCTGCACCTCTCTCTCATATACTGAGATGAGAGATTGAGAGTGAGTTCTCCTATCAATCTGGGAGTCAGGAACTTCACTCCCGGAGCCCCGTGCGCAGTTGTATCAGGTTGAGAAGCCTCCTTTCTGCCGCCCATTTAGGCTGCCTTTTTGGTTGAGCTTGGTACTGCTCCCCTCACTGCAGGAGGGTTACCTATGAGCCTGCCACTCCCATGCTGAGCATGTGAGTTCTACTCTCAATCTGAGAGTCAAGGACTCCACTCCTGGTGATCCATGCGCAAGTCATAACATTTTGTAAGGTCATCTTTTGCCTCCTTGGTGGGCTGTTCTTATTGTTGATCTTGGCAGTGTTCCCCTAACTGCGGGAGGGTCATCTATGAGCCTGCTGTTTCCGGATGGATCATGTTCTCCTCTTGATCTGAGAGCTAAGAACTCTAAAGAACTCCCTGGGGCTCCATAAGGCAACAATACCAGGTAGATTTGGCCTCTCCTAGCTGGCCTCCCAGATGGCCTCCCTCTGTGCTCATTACAGGGTCACTTATGAGCATGCTGCTTTGTGGAGCTCCCATCATGTGACTGCCCATATGGTTGAGTTTGTGGTTCGACCCTCAATTGGAGGGTCTCCTATTAGTATGGCACTCCTGCAGCCCCATCATGCGCCGCTCTCACTCTTAAAGTTGAGTACTCTGCTCCCTTGAGCCTGTGAAGCAGTCATACCAGGTTGCTAGGCCTTCCTTTTGGCCCCCTGATGGACTGTAAGCGGCAGTTCCCCCTCTGTGGCTTGGTGGGTCACCTTGACCATGTTAAGCTAAGGAGTTGTTTTATGCACAAGAGTCGAGTATGTGAGTCCTCCTCTTAATCTAAGAGTCGACTACTCTGCTTCCTGGTAAGTGCACATGCTATGTATTCTGTTCACTTCCTAAAATCCATATATAGTAAGGATCACGTGCTGCCCGCATCGTACCCTTTTTCCGATGTAGGTCAGACCCCGGTTCTCACCTTGGGCCCCACTCTAGATGTGTATCTTCAGTGATGCCATGACAGATGTTTCCCACTTAGACTGGGCTGCAGCCAGATATGGCTGCCAGTTCAAGGGATCTAGGGAAAAGATCCTATGAGAAGTCTCCATCTCGAATACAGTAGGTTCCTCTTACATTACAATTTATCTTACATTCGTCACTTTCAGAGACTCTGCCTCTGGCAGACAGGTCAATTGGCTACACTGTAGCCTCCCTGGGAGAATTAGAGGTTGATGTATGAAGTCCCCCTATGTGACAGGCCAGGGTCTGGTAATATGGCCTAGACGCTCGGCCATATCCCCTTAAAGGAATCACATTGTTATATGATTCCAAGCCTTTAAACTCTGCCCTGGGACAGGTTGTTCAGCCCTTAACAGGTTATTTGGATATGTTGCTAGGGCCTTTGACTGAAAGAGATAGTGTCACTGACAGCCACCAATACATCTGGGGGGTGGCTCCGATATTTACACTGTGGAGTTGGTGCTTAGTGCTTGCCTCAGGAAATATGGCATGCACTTCCCTCAGCATGGCAGTGTGGATATTCCATTCCCTATAGGGAGCACTAGAGGACACAGTTCGAGTTCTCTCAAAAATGAAAGTCTCAATTTACCATGGCTCCCTGAGAATGGAACGAGACACTGCAATCTCTTTTCTTGGCAAGCTTCAGACAAAGAAGTGGATAATGTATTCTTCCAGCTCCATTTTATACTGTGGTTGCACCGGTAGTGACGTCACAGGCTATCGCCTGGCCAATGTTATTGTCGTGTTTATGTGCTTCAGACACTGGTCACGCTGAAGTTTTTACCTCAAATAACATGTATTTACATATTCTTCCTTCTGCAAAACTGCTAATTTAATTACCTTCAACGAAACTGAAAACATTAATAAGACATTTGTCTCAATATATAGCAAATAATTTTATTTACTACATTAAATTGCTTGATAAATCTACAACATTAATAAATAAATTATAGATCAAAAGTAGTGTAGAATTTTCTTGACACGATCGTGTCAAGAATGTAACAAATTTCCACATGCATAGTCAAAGCAGTTGTTAAGGACAGTGCTGTTTTTTTTGTGCATTCTAAAGGTTTAAAGGAGAATAAAGTGAAATGCGCATGTTTAGCCCTGTTGTACTCTATATTGTAATTTTTATTTCTTGAAAAAACCTGAATACCATATCCTGTTGCCATGATTTATTGCAGGGTCTGAAATAATTGAGTATACCATAATTCTAGTGCATAGGTCTTTAACCCTGGTCCTGGAGACCCACCTGCTAAGTGTAGTTTTAACCTGCTCTAAAGCTGAAGAGCATGATTTGCTGGTTTAGGCATGTTTTATTAAGGCTGGTGCTAAACTCTGCAGGACAGTGGGTCTCCAGGAGCAGGGCTGAAGACCTCTGGTCTAGTGTTAAAATGTATAGAGACAAGTTGAACTCAAGATGATATCAAAACACATAACTATGTGTCTAGGACTAAACCAGCTGTAGTGTTTAGATATCTGCTGTAATTATCTATTTTTGTATTAAAAATTTTGAGCCATGACCATACTAACAGACCTCATTGTCATGTGGTGGCAGTTGTTGAAGGAGTTGCTTGATCCGATGCTTTTCACCAATGCTGTTGACATAAGGAACCTTATCCTCTGGGAAAAAGCTGTAATACTGATGAACCTGTGTTTACACAAACATAAATAGACAGATAAACTGATCAAATAATTCATATAAACAGCGAGGAACAATATCAAAGTTTGTCATAATAAAGACTACAGTCAATGGGCCTCATTTACGAAACGAACGTACGACAGAAAATTGAGCGTACGGTCGTTTCAACGCAAAACTTGGAATTTATCAATATGGACGTGAGCGGTGGCTACGATCAAATCTCACGTCTGGTCTCAGCTCGTGTATGCAAGTTTTTGAGTTACCTGAAGTTGCGCACAGCATAGTAAATACGGTGGAGAATTGTAGATTGACAGCATTTTGTTCATTTTTATATTCCTGACCGTCAAATGAAGCTCATTAATCGTAGGGGAAGATGGGGGAAATGCCCCCCTTAAGAACAATGTGGATTTACTTTTAAACTGTAACAGATTTACATATAAGTTTAGCATGTGCAGAAAAATGATGGATCAGCCACTGTAAAAAAAATATTATATAATAAAAATATATAAAGGTATACGAGTTGTTGTGTCTCTGATCCATTTCGTTTTGGAGCATGCCTTGGTTTGTTCCTTTGGTTACATATAATTTGCAAATGCTTCTCGACTAATCGTTAGTCGACCAGAAGAGGCTTGGTCGATCAATTTTAATCAAGTTGCTTAGTTGCATTAAAAAAAATTAAAATAAATAAATAAATCCACAGGCGAAGTCACGCAGTTCGTGATGGACAGATCGTTATCGGCCGGTATATGTGGTAATACAGTACATCAGGCAGGACGTCCAAACGCTCGCCTATCATTCATCGACCTCAAATATGGCTTATCAGCTGAAATATGCAAGAATTAGCAACTTTACATGGCTGCTCAATCTAATGTTAACCTAGAGAAATGTGCGCTATTGTGTCTGTGTGGAGGGTAGAAGCTGAACAGCAGCGCACGCTTACGGCAGGACAGATGGAGGCACCGGTGTGCTCACTTGCTCTTAAAATAGGCTACTCCATCATTTTTGGTCATTCAGATAAGAGTAATACATCTTTCAAATCTGTAAAGACTCTACGTTTATTTGTGTGCACTCACAAGAACAACAAAACTTGCTTTTGTAAAATAATGAAAGCAAACAGGATGTGCTTTCTGCTGTCTCGGTCTGTGAACTTGAGAGCGAAACTCTGAGTATATCTTTGCCTTACAGACATTAAAGATATATATATATATATATATATATATATATATATATATATATATAGAGAGAGAGAGAGAGAGAGAGAGAGAGAAATGTCTACTTTCAGCTGAAATATGCAAGAATTAGCAACTTTACATGGCTGCTCAATCTAATGTTAACCTAGAGAAATGTGCGCTATTGTGTCTGTGTGGAGGGTAGAAGCTGAACAGCAGCGCACGCTTACGGCAGGACAGATGGAGGCACCGGTGTGCTCACTTGCTCTTAAAATAGGCTACTCCATCATTTTTGGTCATTCAGATAAGAGTAATACATCTTTCAAATCTGTAAAGACTCTACGTTTATTTGTGTGCACTCACAAGAACAACAAAACTTGCTTTTGTAAAATAATGAAAGCAAACAGGATGTGCTTTCTGCTGTCTCGGTCTGTGAACTTGAGAGCGAAACTCTGAGTATATCTTTGCCTTACAGACATTAAAGATATATATATATATATATATATATATATATATATATATATATATAGAGAGAGAGAGAGAGAGAGAGAGAGAGATATCT